TGTAACAATGACAACTATACTGACAAAACAGATCCACTAATTCTAGTGATCTGCCTTAAACAGTATTTAACTGTGCCTTAAGTATGGGTATCACCATTGGCACTATCAGTGATGGGAACCACTCTGACAAATACTGACCTACTATGAAACATACTCCTGACCTTGACAAAATGAAAGTCTGGAATCCAACAAGAGTTTATTTTTTTATCAGACATCATCTAATACCACTCACATTTCCACAGAGTTTGACATAGAGACTATTGCTCCAAACAACAAAAGCCATTAACTGAAGCAAATAATTAAAACCCCACAGATAAATTATTTCAGTCACTTCACAAACTGAATTGTGCTTTATATGACTGTGTGTCACACATCCAGTGTAAAAGAATTCTCCACAACACCAAATCAACTTTAACTTGAGAAACAGTGTTCCAAAAGTTGCAGAGCACCCATAAAGAAGCTTCTGACCAGTACTGTATGACCAATGTCCAACTTACTCTTTAAGGAAACATTCCCTGGATCTGTAGCAAGTTGTCTTATCTAGTACCATTTCACTCAATTTCCAAATATTTTGACAAGAAAAAACAGTCCTGAAAACATTTAGCTATTTTTTCAGTTAGAACTTATAAGCAAAAATGTTTGATTAGATTTCCCATTTTGAAAGCGGTTAACAAAAAGCATGAGTGCTCAATACATCTTTTCTCCTCACATCAACAGAGTAGTAATATGATGAAAATTTTTTTTGAGAAAAGTTTTTTTATCTTCAAACTTCTGAAAAGAGTCACAGGATTTGAGAGAAATACCCGGACACCTTCAGATAATGGGTCTTAGAAATGTAACTTTCATTCTTTATGCACTTTCTGAATAATTAGAACTATGTATAGTCAAGCTCAATAGTACAGCTGTGCAAAAAGAAAAAAAAAAAAAAAAAATCAATCCTAGGAATACAAGACCTCAAACAGGCTGTCTTTAATATCATGAAATCAAAGCCCATGACAGAGGTGATGAATGGCAAAATTGGCAGTTGAAAGAAAGTATCCTTTTTATTGGTCATGTTTTTTGCACTTTAGCTCAGTGAAATCACTTCCCAGATTGCAGCCTGGTCAAGGAATCCAGGCAGAAGAGATGACATATAAAAGCCCTCAAACAAAACCCTACAATGTCTCTCCCTGACTCAGGGAAGGAACTGTATCTAGAACCATACAAGGAACAGCTAAGACAGCAGCACTGATTTTTAAAACCTTCACTTATTTGTCTTGAGAAGTTGGGAACAAAGTGAAAATTTTGAGTCATTGAGTACTAAGTTGGGCAAACCATTTTGAAAGAAACTAAAAAGTAGTCATGTTCTATTTTCACTAGCTATAACTATTAACTCTTATTTTCTTTATTTAGGGCTCTTGTGATCTCGGGAATTCATCTGCAAAAAGCACAGCAGCCTTAATCATTGAAAGTAAAGAACTCATGTAGTATTCTACAACACAGAAATGAACCTTCTCATTTCCAATGCATCTAAAATGTTAGATTTCTAATTTTATTCTGCTAAATACCAAAGTTTCACATGTAATTTGTCCAAAAGGACAGAGATACTGTATTAGATAAGTGACATGCAAGTCTACAAACACATACAGAAAAAAGACTGGATAAAAAAAACATTCCTTCTAAGACATCGTTTCATTAAGAGCACTACTTCTAAATTGCAGAACTTCTGCCTAACATAAAAGAATGTGGGGGTTGGGAACAGTTGATAAAGTGCTATAACTGCAGAATTCAACTAAACATGGTAAGATTTCACGCAATACACCTTACTAAAATAGTACATTAAATACTAGCATGGTATGAAAGTACACATATCATGTTTCCAATTACAATTACAAAGTTGCTACTAGCAACTTGACACAGTAGGATCAAACCTAAAGTTCTATTCCAAATAATGTTGCCACAAAACAAAGCAATGAAGACATGATAAGCCAGCATTATAATTGTATGTCAAATTATATGCTTGACAAACCATTTAATTATGGATTCCATAAAAATCATTCCTATCTTAAGTAAATTTGACAATCCAGAGGATATAAACCAGTTATGCTGAATACCTTTTTTTATTTTCTTGCTCAGCTTTTGCAGTTGTCACATGTTGCGTGACAACTCATTCAACCTGCACATTGGATTAGGCAAGGATTTTCATAGTATTTGCATGCTAGATTTTTGTCCACTGTTGTGTGATCATTTAAAAAGTCTTTTGACTCAAACGCAGTTCACTTGATGACAGAAAGACCCACGAGCTTGTTCAAATTCAGCAATGCAATGAAATGCAGCAAGAGCATCTGGACAGAATCTGAGTGCCAGCTGTGGCTACTTCAAATTAAAGTTCACTAACTGGTCCATAAAGAGCAGCACTCTTCCTGATTCTCAGATCCCACTGCTTCTAGAAAACATGGTGTGAAAATGACATACACTGACAGTTTCCTCAGTATATATAGCAAGTAACAATCACACTCTTACATGAAAACACCCAAACAGTTGAGCATTAAACACTTTTTGACAGAGGATGCCAATATATCAAAGGTATCAGAGTTATACATTCTACCTTCCTTAAACCAGTAATCTCTCTAAGGCTTTGCTGGATGCTGTAATAGTGAACCTTCAACTAGTTTCCAAAAAAGTTTAACCACACACTGACTGTATTTGAAGGACTAACTACATGCTCACATGCGCTAGATACAAACTACACATCCTTAGACTGAATACAGGATATAAGGCGTGTCTTTTAGGTAGTGTATCTCCGTAGGAAACTCCATTCCTTACTTCATCTCCCTTTAAAGTCTGTGTAAAAGCAATGATACAGACATCAGACTCCTTGCTGTTAAAAAAGAATTAAGTCACACCACAACTCTGTTCAGTGAGTCTGCAGTGCTCTTTCCTCAGGATATTAGTCTTTCTAAAAGCATTCTTGCTCTTCTTCACTGTTACCATCTAATAGCAGTAATTACTTCTTGTTCTGTGTTATCAGATGTCACAGGTATTAAATGACTTTTTTTTGTCATTGGATTGAAGTATCTAAAAAAGATTTTCTTTAAGAAGCAATCACTGACAAAAGGAAGCACATGAGCTCTGGCTTATACAGCTACATTTGCAAAGATGGATGCAGCAGATGTGTCCACAAACATAAATAGTCATTAAAAATGTCAGAAAACTGCATCTGAAGAGCCAACTGCACATCCATTCTATATATGCACTCCTGACTAAACATAGTGACTTAGAAGGTACGTTCACATGTCAACCTTGTTTCAAAACACTATGTAAATGATATATTTAATAACTGAAGGTAATGGAATTATCAGTTTTTAGTAGACCAGCTTACATTTCTGTTATAAAGGGAAGTATGACACCATCTTTATACATGAGATATCATGACTGGAAGACAAAATGGGCTCCTAAGGACAATCCAGACAGCATAGCAGAAAATAAACATTAGGATTTTTTATTATATACACACATTCACAGCATATCTTCATCAATTTAAATTTAATCACCTTTTTACAATTTAGAGGAAAAGACAGTTTTTAGGGTAGTTAAGCCATGTATCATCAATACCATGAAGCTAACCTATCAGTTATAATAGCTCCTATAAAATACCAGAGTGAAATTGCAGTAAGCCTAGAAAATGGGCTACAAATCCCAGATATGCTCAAGCAAGCACTGAACCAAAAATAAAAATAGGTAGATAGGAAACCAAGAACTAGATAGCATTCATCTAATTCATGACCACTAACAGCAGAGATCACAGGCCAAGGTTTTAAAGCATCTTATTCAGCTCCAAATAGCAATTATTGAAGTCCCTGTTCAAATACAAACACTTTCCCTTTTCAAAACTAGTTAAATTTTTAACAGTTCCTTCCTATTCTCTCCACATATAATAGCTCTTACATTTCTCAGAAGCACCTTATTTTGTTTAGGAAAATTAAAATTTGAAAAACTTTTAATGTTCTCAAATAGTAAAGAGCATCCATGTTGCAGTATTTATCATACTGGGATTTGTTTATTACACACTGATGAAGAGTCTCCCACATTCTCCTCTTCCAAACACTATTGTGATAAGAAAGGAATAGACTGCACTACAATTAATACATTTTAACATTTTAATTTGAAAAGTCAAGTCTCTTTTTTCCTCATGCCCTCATCCAAAGAACAAATTCTTAAAAATTCACTGGAATATTATTTTAGAAAAAAGCTATGGGAAAATCCAATCATTAGATTGAACAAAAACACAAGGAGAGTTGGATTCTTTTTCTTCACTTAGACATTGCTCCTAGAGCTGAAGGCACTAAAAACGCAGACACCTCTCATTTGTAGTAACAGCCTTAGAACAGAGTCAATACAAAGGAACACATACAGTCTATGACAGGTGCATCTCTAACTTGCTTTAAATATTTATGTATATACCCTTTCCCCTGACCACACAGAAGTCAACCAAACAACAGAGAATTAAGGACAGATTTTTTTCAAAGCAGACTTTTGGAAGAGTGGGGGAAAAAAAAAAGTCAGAATTGTACCACAATCCATCCTAGAATGCTTTCAGTATCAGAAAAACTTAAAATATCTTGGGTAAGATGACAGAAACATGTTTTCATATAGACATAAGATATATACTGAAAATGTTATGTAAGCCCCCTCCCCAAACCTTTTCCTTCACTCAGTTCAAATATAAGTGCCAACAAACAGTATTAGACTGTTTCTGCCATTCAAATACACACAAATATTTTGTTACAATAGAATTGCAGTGGAAAGAGTCTTAACTATTAAAAAAAAAAAAGCAAACACAGTATCAGGCAGTAAAGGCACTGTAGTCTTATCATTCCATCACTAATCTACAACATTAGGAAACAAGCATGAGAGGAATGTGCTTTTTTAAAAAAAGAAAAACAAACAAACAAACAAACAAACAACAAAGAAACCCCTAAAAACAGTGCACATCATCTTACAATAATAAAATCACCTACCAATGCATTCTGGTTTCCTGAAGCCTTTTTTATGTTTCTTGCTGGCATTCCATGTAGATGACTAAATCTACTCTGGAAACCTACAAAAAAGAAGTATGAATTCATTTAAGAATATTTCCTATGTCATATAACCAATAAAATTCACCATTATATACTATCTATTAATCTGACATCAGTTAAACAAAACATCTTAATTTTGTCAAACATTGTACTCATGGAAACAAAGAGCACAGAATGAGAAAAGTAGAAAGGCTAAGTTGTCACAAAAATGAACATTTCCATAGATATTCTTGCTGCCATCCTGGTTCTATGCACAGTTGGCTGCATAAGCAGAGCATACTGAACTACAGTAGGAAAGTGATTTTTGCATCACCTAATTAGTACTAGAAAATGTTAAATCTGGTGAATATGTAAAGACCAAGTCCTCAGAAACAATTCCAAGCATCTGGAAAACAAGTCTCACAAGATAATTTAATACACTCAGTGTGTAGCGTAGTTTAAAAGTGATTTGACCACTACTTACGTTAAAGATCTGTATTTGAATGTGAAAAAAGATTGTTGTGGCAGAGGGAAGGTATAACAAAATTCTCTGGCAGCAAGATAAGGTCTGATAACTTCAATCTTTAGACAAGAGTGGTTTCCCATCTGTAAATGCAATCTAAAACTGGTACAACTTACCACTACACTGGATCCACGGTTGTCTAAGGCATTTTAGAGAAAAAAAATATTTGATATTTTCTAAGTTACAATCTCAAGCCTTTCTCTGAAGAACACTTCCCTTTTCTCTACAAGCAATATGGCCTGACCATAAAGCAAAGCAAAGCAGATGGTCACACTAGTCTTTCCAGCCTTTGAATTAATGAGCTTCTATAGAATTCCAAATGTTATCACAGAATCCAGGAACAGAACAGAATATAAATATTCACTTTAAATAACATTTAATTCTCAATGCAAACATTGAGAGAACAAATAAAAGAGTAGGCTATCAAATGAGCCAAGTTCTACCCCTTCTGACTTGTCTAACCATCTACTTTTTTTAAAATTATTTCTCCCCAATGATACATTAAAAATGAGATACTTCAAGGAAACAAACTGGTAACTCCAAGATCTCATCAACATTTTACATATTTTGTATAATCCACAGATCTTCCTACTGCACCCAAGTGATTCTACAGTTTTATTGGTTTGATTGCTACTTACCTCTCCTCCCTGAACGGGACATAAGAGGGAAAGTACCAGTTAAGATACTTTCAAAGACTGGATCAGGCAATTCTCTCTCCAGTTCTGTAGGATCTTCTTGTTCCCACCATGGAATGACCCCCGTAATTCCACATGCTCCACCAGACTCATTTTCATGAAACCAATCACTCTGTTCATCATCACCTGTGTGAGGGCAGCATCCCCCAAGCCCCCCAAAAAGAGGGAGGAGCAGAGAAGATAAAAATCAGATGTTACCATCAATGAACACTCTGACAGGACAATTATTTCATTTGCTTTATAGCTGTATAACAATTACTCGTATATAGCAGTTCTATTTGGAAAATGTTTCTCAATAGCATGACAAGCATTGCCATCAATGAAACCACATAAAATGTAATGTTTTAAAACCAATTTACAATAGTGAAAAACAATAATAAACTAGTTAATTCTTTGGCAATAACTGCAGGGAAATCCATTTAAGTTAATGCACTTTACATATTAACAAAAAACAAGCCTTAATCTCCTGCAGGGAATTAAAAGGTATAAAACTGTGAAACTAGTTCTTTGCAGCTGATAATGGTATATAATTAGCTTAATTTCATGATTTGTATGGCTAGTAAAAGGGAAAAACAATCATGAACAGATGTGACTAAATGAAGTTAATCTGATTAAGTTCATCTAGAAATAAGTTTTGAAAAAGTTGATTTTAAATGAAAACTGACAGTATCATGTGATTGACAATTATACTGCATTATTCCACAAAGCTGGTCAATTTTACTGACAATATTTATAGATGTAGTATTTATATACCTGGATTTAAAGTGAAAAGTAAGACAAGACTGAAAATCTGATCTTAAACCTAGCTCAAACACAATGGCAACTAAAAATAAATTATGTTTGTTTTAAAACATGTTCTTGTATACAAACCAGGTAGTTAACGAAGATCAGAAAGTACCTTCATAAGACATGGCAAATTTTTTCCTTACATCCAAAAATTAGATTTCAAAGTATGGGCTGTATATTTTAATTCTACTTTAAAGTATCGAAACCATGCCTCACTATTTTTACATAAATTATTTGTTTGGCATTTCAATTTTTAATTAGGCAGAACTAAGCAAGACACATATGCAAGATTTACTAGGCACAATTCTTAAGAACAAAAAGCATTCATGTAAAACTTCATTGTCACTCAACCTCACAACGGGGAAAATACAAATAATGAAAACCCAAGTCAGAATTTGAGGAAAAATAAAATTCAACACACTTTCTTCAAATAGATTACTGCAATGAAAAGAGTACTTCAAGACCAAGCAAAAGTGTAAATGTCTATAAACATTCACCAGGACAAGTACTTCAAGAAAATATAGAATTAAGGCTTCTCATTGGTCATTTGCAGGTGAAATGTGACCCTCACATCTTTAAAGACTATTACTAAAAGTAAAATTAGCAGAGGCTAGAGAACAGGAACTCTTAGATTGAGGAAGGAGAAAACGGGTGGAAAGAGATACATAGGTCCAAATAAGATTTGTTTCTTTGCATTCCTGGAGCACTTCAGATTACTCTCCATATTTACTCTAATCCTCATTTATAGCTATGATATTTCACAAAGGCATTCACCATTAATTCCATCCTCATTTTATTACAGCCAGGTATGGTTTCTTTGGAGGATGTCTAAGAGTACTGAACAGACACGGTGGTGGTGGTGAAGAGAAAAAAAAATCACACCTTTTCATTAGATCGATTTGTTGTTCAGAATTAAGTTTGAACTCCTCTGTTTTCATTTTCCAAACTTATGTAGATAACCTTTGTCTGAATATTCTGTCATTAAGATGAGAGCTCTAGACATCCTGACAAATAAGAGATATTATCAGGAACTCAAAAGAAGTGTTGTTACACATAATTCAGCTATGAAGGTAAGCACAGAATTCTGAAATTGGGTTTCACAAAAATCTGTTCAAGGAGAGAAGCCTGTAAGAGTTATTTAGTGCAAGACTGGATTGGTGGACTGCAGGGTAAGGCAGACAGTGGCTATGGAAGGAAACTGGTATATTTGCTGTATGCTCAGCAACATCTCTTTAAGAAAAAATACAAAATTACTTTTCCTTTTTGTTCAATAGGAATATTAGTATATTAAGGAACTATCCATTAAGACATCTTACCTGTTATGCTATTATACACTTCCTTAAGCGCTTAAGTCTGCCTTTGGCAGTAAGCAACATAAGATCTAAAAGCCTCGTAGGCTTTTCCAATGTGACAGGAGGATCCAGGTATACCTGGTTTTTAGATTCCTTGTCTGTGCACTTCAGGCAACTTTAAATCCTTTGACTACTTTGAATCATATTTTAACTTTGAAGCAAGCATAAACCTATTACTACTATTCTTATCCAGGTGAGAGCACCCACAGGAATTTTGTTTACCTTGAAGGGATGTCATTTTGAAAAGGAGTCACCATTGCATTTAATCAATTCCTGACCTCATACATATAGGCAATATAATACAGAGGCCTTCGCACTCAAGAGTTTGGTAACCAAATACTTCAATTTTATCCTAATTTGCAGCTCTCAAAAGGCAATACAGTATCCATAGCAAACTTGAATTTATGAGAATTAAAAATTCAAATACTTCAACAGATTCACTACACTGTCCTTTCCTTTTAGAGATGCTGATTCAGCACAAGACTACAGCAAATTGCTGTATTTTTCCAAGATACAGGAAAGGTAAAATGACCTCCCGATTTCCAGAAACTGATTTCCAAGCCCATGCGTGCTCCTAGCCACAGATTTAAAATACAAACATGTCTGTGGGTAATGCTAATGATTCAAGGAATTACTTCAAAGCAATTATAATTACCGATCAGTACAAAAAAAATATCATCAGTTTAAGGCTCAGAAATGTCAACTTCCATTCTAAAATTTCAAGACACTTCAGTTGCTGGATTTTTAAGCTTTCCCCTCCCCCCAATTACCATTTCCCTAATTTTTGCTCTACATTATTGAGTATACATATTTATCTAATTACCACTCCTTCATGTAAAATTATCTGCCTTCCTCCAAGTTTAGAAAATTTATGTGGTCTTATTATGGTTTCTCTATGGACACAGACCCCATTTGCATCATCATCAGTTTCATGTTCAGCTGAATCTTATTTTAGCTAAAGCAGTGCAGGATTATAACAGACTTTCCACTGCACACAAATAGAATTTTCCCCTTCTTAGTTTTCTTTTATTTCAAAATGGCCAGACTACCCTCCATAGCAGTCACATATGGTGTACACGTACTGGCCTATAACAACCAGAACCTACCTCGAGAGGCTACCATGAAAAGAGCTTGGCATCAGTGTCCTATCAACACCACTTGATACTGTGCTGCTCTATTATCCAACAACTCGGAGAGCAATAGCACACGGACTGTAAATACCCTAGGATGCCAGTCTCATTTCCATGAGCAATGTACCTCTTTCCAGGTAAAACAAAACAAACAAAACAAAACACTGCTAACAGCTGTAATAATCATTTGGAGACATCAGAAGATTCACTAACACACATATAAGGAGTTTTAAGAAAGCAGAAGCTTAAAGTTACCCATCCACAGAGGCTCACTGCATCTTGCTCTTTGTGCTCTACAGAACTACCTTGACAAAAGGGATAGCAGGACACCATTCAGACATCATTCAATTTAAGCAGCTAGTTCTTCTGATTCAAGCTTGAAAACTTCACACGAAGGCTTCCCATCCCTCTCATCTAATGTCACACTATACCCTGTTCTTGAGTAGGAGGACTGTACAGGCGTGCTGTTAATAAATTAGATCAAGGATATCATGTGATCTCAGTTTTATGTTCACCTCTACCACTGTGATCCATACGCAATATTTAGGATTTCAACTATTCAGGTCCTATACAACAACTTCATGTTTGGTTGTTTTGTTTTGTTTCTTCACCCACAAAGACTATTAAGTAATTAGGCACAACAGTTCAAAACTGGTGTGATAACACTTAACATTGCACATTCCATTTCTTTTATATACGAAGAACGCCCTGACACCTGCAGCTACTGAAATGCTGTACAATGTTCAAATTAGTTTCTCGGTAGAGAAGACAAAAGGATAGAATTCTCATATACTGAAGCAGTAATGGGTCATCTTCATAAAGGACACAGTAATGAATATATGTTTAATCATAAAATAATGAACAGCTATCTTTAAAAGCTTAGCCACATCCACAGTAGAAATCTGACATTCCCTGACCTTCTCCAATTTTAACTGTTTAACACTTTATTAATATAATTTTCCTTCCTACTTGCTTAGATCTTAAAGGACATTTCAAGTGCTGCATGTCATGATTTAAGAGGTCTTAAGTCAGCTTTGAATTTCCCCAAGTGTACTAGTAGGTGCAGATGGACTAGGAATGCAGAATATATTTTAATTATCATACCCAAACTATAAAATTCATTAAAGAATATACTTGCAATTTGACTTTTTTTTTTCCCCAAAAACAGCAATAATACCAACTAGTGTTTGCATAACATTACAGCTTTGTTAACACTGTGTTGAAAACTTAACTTATAAAGTGCCTTGAAACTGCAGGTGATCCTACTAGCTAGGCCTATAAGACTTGTACTATATGTTGCAATGTAAGGTTAGACCTTCTGTTTCAAAACTTCTTGTAAAAGTTCTCTACATCAGGCATAACACTGCTTATCATTAAAGTCTTTAATAGTTGCAAAACAGCCATTTATGAAAATGCAATTAGGAACAAAGGAAGGAGTAGGAAGAAAAAGGAAAGTCATAAAGATTTCTGATACATAAGCTTCAGCCACTGTTCAGTTCCTTCCATTACTCTGTTGGCAGGCTCTCCCACCTCCATACTCAAGGGCTTGACATGTGCATAGGATTTTGTTTTTTTGCTAACTATATTAAACCTTAACCTAAAGTTGACCAATTTATAAACCTCTGAAAAATAATACAACCCATAAAAGTTCACTTGAAGTTTGTTAATAGTTCAGCAGCTACCTTCTTCACTGACTGTACCTGCACTGAACATTTTCCATGACCTTTAAACATTTGCTGGCTAACTGTACAGGGTAGGCAATGTTTCACAGAACAAAAACATCTGCTACCTTGGGATTGCAAAACACTGAGTACCAATTACTTCTGCTAGAAGATGACAGTGGAATGGAGGACTGCAAGGGAGTTGCTTTGGTCCTCTCACATGACCTAACATAAGCACGTGGATAACTTGGAAAAGGAGGACAAGCATGGCTAGGCTCAGATGAGGACTTCATAAAAAAAAAACAAATCAAACAAAAAAGCTGTAAGACTAGAACAGAGGCAGGCTGGAAAGGAAAATGGTATAGAGATTTTAAAAATAATGTTAGATGGCACAATATTAGAAGTTGAACACAGGATTTTAAAGTCTCAGCAATTTTCTTTCATCATAGCAACTGATGGTAATTAAAATATATTGAGCAATTAACCCACTACTACCCTCAATTACAGCTACACCTGGTTTTCTTGAATTGAATTATAAAAGCTGAAACTATTCTGAGAGTCTGAGTACAGACAAGCACAGTTACTGTGGTGGAATTTATTTCCATTTGCTTTTTGAAACAATTTTGGAAAACATTAAAAGTTGCAAGGTCAGGCACTCCAAAGTTCAGAATGAAATACTCAACTATTTAACTGACTGGCCAACTGCTTGAAGAAATTGATGCTTTAGATCACTTTTTTTTCTTGAAAGTCTGTCCCATAGGATGATTATGCTTTGGGAATTAATTAGGGTTTTATAAAGAGTATTTGTCTGCAGCAAATGAGATAAGGTTCTTAATCTCAGAGACACAAAATGAACAAATGTTGCCCTGGAGAACAGGATCCTCTTGTCCTCTGCTACCCAAACTTCTGAATGATGGCAGGCACATCATTTAAACCAAGTATTTCACCAGGCAGCATTAATCAATCTCTGGTTCTTCACTTGACTTAGCAGAAACCTGAAGTCAGAAGTGCAGAAAATTTGAACTACAAATGAGGTCAAGATGCTGATATTCTGAACATATATTCTGGAGGAGGGACACTGCGAAGACAGGAATCAGAGTTCAGCTTTTAAAAGAAGACAACAAAATCAGCCAGTTCTTCCCTTAATACATTTTTATTCTGTCCTCTTGCAGCTTCATTTCTCTCATCTAGGCTTTTCCTTTGCTTTTATCAGACTTATTTTCTTCTTCCTTCATTATTTTCAATTTTGTATGTGTCTCACTTCAGCTACAAATTAATTTACAGAGATAAAATAACATCTTACTTCATAAGGGGAGTACAAAGATAAAAGTTACTATAATTTTCTTGGGGTGGGGGGATGGGGTGGCGAGAATAGGTACTATTAGAAAATAAACAATTTTTGTTTTGAAGTAGGATCTCCAGTAGTATTTTAATGGAAAAGTCTTCACAAAGATCAAAGCTATAATGAGATCTAAGTACATCTGAAAATCAATGTGAAGCAAATGGTCTTCTGACTATACCCACAAAATAATTAGTTCAAAGTAGAGATTAAAAAAAAATAACGTTTTGTCTTGACAATATCCTTCTCGAGTTTAATTACTGTTGTTCTTTTTATTTATATTTCAGAATACTATTTCAGGTTTAATGCTTTCTGCTTGAAAATTACATTGAAACTGAATCAAAGTTCAAAAAAAATCAAACAGGCAAAAATAAGAATTACAGATCTATATTAAAGAACCAACACTAATAAAAAAAATGCCACAACAATGAAAACACTGTTGTTCACTAATCCCTCCCCTTTTCTCCTCCCACAAAATATGTAAGAACAACAGAAAATAACCAAGATGTTTTCAACCATATTATTCAAAGATTTAAATAATTTAGTTCAGGATTTAAGGACAAAAATATTGATACAAATATATCAGCAGGGTAATTCAAAAATATACATAATTATGAAATGTGGTCGGTCATGTAACATAAAAATACAGTGGACAAATGTCTTAAAAGTTGCAAGTTAAAAAATAAATTCACAGATGGAAATAAAAGCAAATCATTTTGACATATTGAAATACTTAAAGTATTGAAATACTGAAGTTAAAAGGTCAATTTGAAATTTCAAAGAGAGCCTACATTCTTCAAAAAAAGCTATGTGTTAGCACAACTAAAACCAGATACTGATACTGGGAGGTACAGTTTACGCAGCACAAGTTACTGTTGAACAAGGAAGATAACACCTGCGTTCTATGTCTGAAAAATCATCTCCCTATTATAACGTTAAAATAGAAAATTAAAAAGTCAACTAGTCTGTGACAAACCGCATAAGAAAATCACCTCCACTACCATTTACTTAGAATTGCCAACAGAAAAGCAAGTCTTAATCACTCAAGAGACTATTTTTTGCCTCACTTGTGTATGCTGTCAAAGACAGCTAGTTCCTAGTCCATGAGCTGGGCACTAAAATGCTGGCATAATACAGGTAAATGTGCTACACTTGGAGATGGCAATAAACACTGAAGCTGGAAAAAAGAATAATCTTATACTTCCATCCTCAATAGTTTTACCACAAAAACAGGTGAGAACATTATGCATCCTAAAGAAAAATTTTTAATCTTCACTGCATTTTACATTAAAGAAAAATTTTTCAGAAGAGAGAAACTTTAAACAGCATGAATCTTCTAATCTCAATCTTAGACTGCTGAAAAAGTAGTTTGTAGCTTGAAACTGCTTTTCAAACAAGCTACTGAATGAAAAAGAACTATAAAATCCTGCCATATCAATTTGAAAGAAAAGACAGACGAAAGCCACCTCAAAAATAGTTTGAGAAGCAGTTTCAGACAGTGTCCTGTCTGTAAATTGGAGCAACTGAAGAATTAAAACTTAGTGCAGATGACCTTTTGGAGATGCTCATGTTATAAGTAAGTTTATTATATTACAGAGACTGCTTCTCAAAATAGCTTTTGACTAAGTCATGGATTTGGGACACTGTCTGGTAACATTTCAAAAAACCCAGAAGGCAAGCCATACTTCAACTCATTAAAACAGCAATAGCAACTGAAATATAGTCATTAACCTATGAAATAACTTGTAACGCTTACAGCATTTCAACTGATGTGGTTTGAGGAGTGGAGAAGGGAAAGATTGTTTCAATACCTTGTCTTCCCTCATCATTGGTAAACAAACCAGCATCACTGCTGCTCAGGCTGCTCGATTCACTGCAATAAAAAAAGAAAGAAACAGATCAAAAGAACAATTGATCTTTCAGTCGTAAAATTTTAAGGAGGCAAGGCTGTGCTCAGATTGAACTCAAGACCAACAGATATCGGAAAGAAAATAGGATGATTTTTTTTTTAATCAAACTGCAAATATCCTGGTTCCATTAACTACAAAGCATATTATTTTTGGCACATAAAACCACGGGAATCTAATGGTACCCTGACAGTAAGCCAGATGTGACTGCGAGGTGCTGACACAATTGATGCATTTTATTATCTACTTCCATCAAATGCTCACTGCTCCCTTCTTATGCTGTGCAATTCAGCTTGATCCTGGAACACCACTGCTCAATAAAATAGGAAAAGTCTCAATCAAAAACTGCCTAAGCCTTCCTTCAGCACATGAAATATAAAAGTCTGAAAATCAAATTACTTTTCTGAACATCATTTGCAAATATTCTGGAAAAGACATTGCTTAAGGTTTCACAACATACTACTTGGAGAGAAAGAAAAAAGTTTGTAACAAAGGTAGCCAATTAAATCAAAATAAGGGTCACCCTGAAGAAAATAAGTATGATCAATAATTACAACATCAACAAAAAAAAGCAAGGTACAGTTTACTTTTCTGTGACTTCTGTGCGTATACAACATGAACACACTTCTCTCTAAATTCAAAGACATCAATAGGAAAAGTATTTTGTTCTTTGCTGTATACATGTTGTTACAAACAATATTCCACATATGTCTCAATAGTAAAACAGACTTGTCTTAATAATGCAGGTCACAATTTGGTGAGTTTCACATGAAACGATTTTTTTGCAAGCCATTTATTTCATTTTTTGTCAACAGAATAGCTCTGCTGAGGAAGTAATATTCTCACCAAAATTTAATCACATTTTACTTACATTGAGATGTAGAACAATTTGAAAAAAATCAATTCAGTTCAGCACACAAATTCAAGTTATAAATACTACAGCTACTTTCAATGTTGCACGCAAGCTACTTGAAAGAACTTGTGGTCTGTTTACCTTTCTACACTTATTCACATTAAAACATACATGCAGTCCTATACTTGAATTCAACTGGTTTAAATTATTTTTAGTTACTTTCTAATAATAAACTAGGTTTATTTTTGTTTCTAAATAACTATTACACTTAGAAAAAATATTTCCTCATAAACGTTACTCTCTCACAAAAGTAAGCCTCCATTTTTTAAAAGCTTGTAATACTAATTTTATAAAGTGAGTCTAATTTCTGTTTAAGTATATAACTTGGCTTTTGTATCTTCCTTTGGGAGGCATTCCAACAGGACTTGAAACAGTGTGGTATCAGGAGACACAAAACAGTGATTTATCTTTTAAAACATATATACACACACACACACACAGAGTTCTGTCTTTAAAAATTAAGTTTTCTTATGCTTATCCATATTCTTACTGTATATACCATCTTTTATACATAATATAATCAGAACAGACTTAAGCACTTGCACAACTGCCCCAGTCAGAAGAAAGATGACAGGCACACAATAAAAATGGAACCATCTTTCATGAGGGAGACCAAAACTTCCTAATGTTGCAAATCCTAGTAACTTCCTTCTAGCAAGCATCTCATCCTCACTTTAATTACAACATAGATGGCTTTACTGTTCTTACATTTCATTGTGCACAATTTTATATCATACATCTCAAAGAAAAAACATGCCGTTTTCACAGATTCTTCCTGTCCATTTATTAATTGTACTTTTTAAATGAAAGTTAGGAAATACTTCCAATCCGAGTATTTCAGCCACTTTTCCCACCAAAATTTCCAGTTTTGATAACAGCCTCCTTCATCATTTTTTTTTAATAAGATCTTTTAATTGTGCAATAATTCTTACTGAAGGACTAGCCAGTTCATAAAAACATAACCACTTCAAATTTTTAAAATTGCACATAATGTTGAGGGTTATTTTTTTTGTTGTTGTTTGGGTTTTTTTGTTTTGTTTTGGATTTCCATTTGCTTGTTTGTTTGTTATCAAACCGTAACACTGCCATATCCATGGCAGCCACAGTGTTCATTCTCCTCAGGCCATGGTCAAATAGTGCAGGGATTACAGTTGAGATAATTGCTACATGGCAGTCATTTCACCAAATAAATTCAAATCCTCTGTAATTAATACATTAATATCTAAGTACATGAAAGCTGTTATGATGGAATTTATTTCCAGTTTTAATATAATTTTGTACTTTGTATTGCTAATTTCTTTGCTTTATCATGAAAATTCTGCTCCCAGCAAAACTTCCAGGAAAAACGGAAAAGCCACAGATTCCTTTCAGTCCTATAAAATGCTGTATACAAGCAAAAACTTGGAAGGAACAGCTCTGCTATCCAAAAAGCATTCACAGCTTTATTTGTGCATTTGTGGAACCAAAGAAGAAATATTATTAGTAGTTATTATTACTAGCAAACTGTTCCCTACCTCGGTTTCATAAGAGACTTGTAACCTTTATTTACTAGCCAGGCCTGTCCCCAAGAGCTGATCGGCCAGGGCACCAGCTGTGACTGGCAGGCCAGTGGCTGGGCATCTCAATTTCACAGCTACTCTCTTTCAAAAGGGGCAACTGAGATCTCTCCTCTATTCAGTCACTTAAAACACAAATGATTGCAAAAGCCTGCAGGAATTAAATACCAGACAGAACTCAAGGCATTGCCAAATTTGGCTGAAACTGGCCAAGGAGCTAAGCACTAAGGATAAGGGAGAACGAGCAAAGGACAGGCTCTGATCACAAAAATCTCATTTCCAGTGCTCAAAACCAACCTCACAGGAAGTCATCTTTGGGATCACTTAGATGCTGATGTTTTTTAAGATCTTGAAGACTCCTCCCTGCTACTCCTGAACCCTGCACTTAAAAGTTATTCTTGTGTCTGGTGTTTGAACACACACAGATAAAGAACTGCAAAAGAAGTGTCACTTAGCATTTTTAATGTGCATTTCAAATATATATGTTATTTTAAAGAAATTTCATGTATAGACTGAAAACTTCTCCTCACCCATTTTAGATCCAAGCAATTTAAATCCCATTCAAAATTACTGGCTTTGTTTTGTTTTTAAAAACTAAACCTCTAAAAAATTGATACTTTTTTTGATTAATCAAACTATATGCACCGAAATGTATAAAATTAGAGCAGCTTTGTATACTTTTTATTTTTCCTCTTTCAGCAAGTGTCGCTGAAGCATGACTCGTATCCCAGACACTTTGTTAGTTCTCCATACCTTGTGCAATCTTAAAAAACTCATGTTCCCTTTTAAAATCTCAGCATACTCTTAGGAACAGAGTATGCTCTCTAGCATACTCTTAGGAACAGAGTTTGCTAGTTTCCGATTCTTCTGGCTAAATCTCAATCAATAGAGGCACTATTGCACTTAAGCAAGGTTAGTTTAAAACAAGTTAAAACTAGTTACATACAAAATATTCAGATACAGTATGCACTTGAGAGGTTTAGATATGGTGGATTTCTAATTACATTATGGAATGCAAATGTTCTAATTCAGTGGTTTCCAAACCTTTTGGTACAGATGATCATTGCAAGAAATTCGGCAGCATTACAGACCATCACTCAACCACGTGCATGAGCAGAAACAACTATGAAGATGAGGATGGTTTTAAAAGCCATCTATTGGTACCAAACATTTGAAGTATGGTCTGAGAAATGACAGCATTTGGCGTAACAAAACATTAGGCATTTTGAAGAGGAAGATGAACTTTTAAATCAATAATGCTTATTTTGTGAAAAAATAAAATTATATTCAGACTGACCTGGAAGTAACACAGTTTGGGAAATCTACAAGAAGATTTTCATATTGATCACTCTTCTCTCCACCCAAAATTTAGCTAGAGAATTTTGAGTTGGACAACTGTTACGCTTGTAGCATAACAGAAAATCTTCTATAAATAAAGTAACAAGACTATGGATATATGATAAACTATATGCAATGGTTCCTAGCTCCAAGGAAATTTTTAACCATCTGTCTTGAGGTACCAAACTTGGGGGAACAGATTCCCAGTGTCAAAGAGGAGGGATGCTTTCTAAAGGCTTCCTGACAACACACACTCCCGTCTTGCATGTCAAGGTGAGATGTCTGAAGTTACACTGGCTGCCTTGAAGGACTGCTTCTGCTCTAGTAATAAAGACATTATGAACAATCTTTAAGATTCAATATTCATTCAGGTCTTTCAGCTGCTTATTGTTTGCAGGTGAAAGACAAAACTAGTATGTAATAAAAAGACTTAGAAGAACTTCTCTGACAATAACTGAAGTTAGTCTCTTACCAGTACTGCTGTTATTACAGTAACCAATTTGTCTGCTCTTGTCAAAAGCCCTGGGCGCTCTCTACACCTCAATTCTACCTCTCCGGTAAGGAAAAGGCTTAACAGTTTATAGATAAAATGCCTACAAAAAGAACCAGGGACACTAGTGCTGTCAAGCAACTGACCAGAATTATGTGTTTTAATGATTCTGTCTTGTTGACAGTTCTGCATTCAGAACCAGGCACATGGAATAAACATAATCAAGCTTACCAGGCCCTGCAGGTAACATCCCTTGTGTATGGTAGAAAAATGACTTACACCTTACTGTGTTGTCAAAACAGTACTTTGGAAACAACTACCATTGTAGTATGACTGCTGTCGGGAATGGATGGATGAGGTGTACTGCCAAAGGGTCATCATTCCCCCATTTTTCTAATGGTAAGCTCAGGTGTTTCTGAACTGTAAATTGGTTTTTGCATTTCGTAAATGATGTATATCCTTGGCAACCTGCAGACTTTTTATGCCCATGACACATAAGAACATACTGTCTAAATGGTGACTCTAAACACTGACAACCTTTCTGATTAATAGAGATAACAATCAAAGCACCAATGTCTAGAAATTGGAAAAACACTTAATTTTTGTCTGAGAACTGTCACCAGTTGAAATACCCAGAAAAAAAATATATTAATCATTGTATATTCTGTCATCCTTAATCTTGAAACAATTAGAATGTATCATTTCAAGAAACTGTTCTCTTGCTTATTCCTCTGCTACATGATTCTCTATTTTATGCTGAATTCTTTAACCTGAGCAAATCATATCTATTTAAAACAGTAGACTTAAAAAAAATAAATTAAGAGTAACTTGTTAAAACAGATAGTATTGATGCTAGCATTTTAACTCAGGAATTAAAGAAAAACCCAAAGATTCCCAACACAAGGAACAGGAATAAAAGCAAACAAATATTATCCAAAGTTTCTGTAAAAGGAAGAGAAAGAATAACCTGTCACTCATGTTCTCATCTGAGCCTTTTTGCTCCTCATACTCCATTTTGTCCTTATTTGCTTGGTTCACTTCTTCATTTTCTATAACTACTCCTTCATCCAAGATTTCTGGTCCTTGTCGAGGTGCAGCTACTTTTCTTTTTTTCACTTTGCTCTTGGAAAACTCTTGGTGTTGGTATGATTTATTGTTATTGTCCATTTCTTGATCTCTGCTGCTATCCTGCTGTTGAGTTATTGTCAGTGCATTAGAGACTTCTGATGGCAGATCTATTGCCATCCGTTTTACCTTTCTTCTCCTGCGCAAAGTTCTGTTTCCCATACTGTCAACAGCTAAATCTGGTTCGTGCCACAGAGGTCTTTTGCCTCGAATGTTATTTAAGTTTGAGGAAGGCCTACGCTTAGCAACCAACAGCTGGTCGTCAGAGTCACTGTGGTCTTTCTTATTAGCATGATTCTCCCTGTAGTCTTTGTTTGATTCTTCTAAACTGGAATCAGAACCTTCACTTAAGCAGTGACCAGTCTCCCAGGGATGATGGGTGGTAAATGATCGTCTTTTTCGTCCCCTCCTTTTCCTTGCTTGTCGCTTTAGAAGACAAGACACACTTCGTGAATGATCTCCAGTATCAGCAAAACCTCCTCTCGCTTGCTCTGAACTTTCTTCCAGTGCTGAGACTAGATCGTGAACCAGCTCCTCCATAGTCCTACTGAAATGCCTGTATTCAAGGAAAAAAAACACACAAAACAAATGAATCTCAAGTGGTAAGCACAAACTCTCTAAGAAAAATAACTTCAGTCACTTTAGGCAAGGTAGTCTCTTAATGTCCATCTTATAAAAACCATTGGATTTCTGCTGAGAGACAAAACCTTGCAGTCCTACACAATTTGCAATGCATTAGCATACATTCCTTTTAAAAGGGATCTTCCCAAATTTCTGTCTTAGAAAGAAGTGGGATGTGGGGGGTGTTCCCCCATTTGTTTTTGACCTCATTATTGTTGTTTAGTTTTAATTTACCTCATCACATTTTTATGATTTTCAGGAATTCTGCATGGCAAGAGCATCAACAAAGACCATTCACTCTAACTGCAGGTAGGGAACACATTTTAAATTTATGAATGGGAAATGGAATACATAATATTCCTCCTTGATAGTATATTAGGGAGTTCTGTTTAAGAGTTGTCATTATGATAAAATATTTTTAAGGATAATTATCACTCGATGCTGCCTAAATGCCAAAATGAGTTTAAGACAGTAATTCTTTGATAATATATGATTTTTTTTTTTAGTAGCAACTAATTCTGTCTTCCCAAATGGCTGACATCTGTTTGATTTTTTAAAAAATATTGACTCAATGTAGTGATATTGAGAGAATACCCTGATACAAGTAATTCCAGAGTATTAAATGCAAAGTTTCCCACCACATGTAGGCAGTCACATCCATAGAATCACACACTTGTGTAAGAAAAAATATCCCCAAACATACACAATGCCTGATTAAGACCTCACCCTTTTAATGTTTTGCTCCTTCCTCCTCAAATTTCACTAACATTTAGCATGCCTTTAACTCACTATGCTTCAGTAAGTTCACCCATGCGTTATATGAACATAATTATGAAAAGAAGAGAAAACATTAACTGATTGCTGCTGAACTCTAATCCTTTTCTGAAGGCTGTGAACCTTCTCTGTAAACACAGCAATCAGTCTCACATCAAAGCGTCAGAAGACCCTTTTCATTGAGGTAAAGCAACGAATAATGTTCATGCTCTCTACTACACTACCCCAACTGATAAATATGAAAGTCACTCCGAAAATTATTTAGAAGACTTTTTAAAAAAAGAAAAAAAAAATAAAAAATAAGACTTTAAAACTTTAAAAGCGACTCTTGACTTTGTTTTACAGTATAAGTTGATGGAGGAATTAACAAATAGTTTTCTACACATATCAACAGAATTGTAGATGTCAAGTAAATCTGGACAGATAACATACAGGTTCCCTCTCTCAATTACCACAAACACCAAAGTTAAGGGTACTTAATGATGATGACTGAACGGACAATATTTTAAATATTAATGGGGGAACTGAAGAGCATGTTTAAGAAGAAATCCAAGCTGGTCATGAAGAGTCTTACCTAAGAAATTAGGTATTCTCTTTTTAAACCATTTTCAGAAATACTTATTTTAAACATTTCAATTGTAAGATCACCAAAAGCATGGACTGGTAGAAACACAAGCTCATTTTGAATTCCTGAAACTACTGTGTCACTTGCATTTATTTCTCATACCTCTTTTTCTGTTCTGCTGTAATCTCTAGTCCTATTACTCCCTCTTAACATTTTCTTTAGCTCAGTACGGCAGAATCATCATATTATCTTGTAAGGGGTGAGACAGCTCTGGAAGAATGATACTCTTTCTCCTTAATCCATTTGGTTCATAAGAATCAAAGCATATATAATCACACAAAAATACTTCAGAAGCACGAGGAACAACCCAGTAAGAAAAGCATTCCAAATGAAGCAATGATTTTCTGAAAATTCAGAAAAAGTAGAAGCCAATTATCCTAGAAATTACTTTGGGACATGTGGCATCAAAATGATTGAAAAGTAATTCTTACTTTGAGTTTTTGAAGTTTCAGTTACAGCAGAGAGATTTAGGGGAGTGTGGGGGGGTATTGTTTGTTTTTTGCTTGGTTTCTTTTCTTGTGTAGTAGGAATTTCAACCATCAGTAGAAGCAAGCCCAGATATATCTGTACAGGGGTTCTACACATGATGCTTAAATAAGCATATTAGCTTATGTTTCTCAGTAGCTATAACTGCACAATGAGGAGGTCACTAGCCCCTTTAGCTTTACTGCTAAACACCCAGGAAGACAGCTATCCTTGCAGGTGCACATATCAGAAATGAGATGTCCTTGAGATTTAAGAGGCTTTCTAATACTTCTCCACTAATATAACAGGAGCCATGACTCAAACAGTCAAACTCCTGTACATTTATTTGGGTTAATTTGAGACATTTTTTCTCCCAGCTGCCTGGCCAGCCCTTCTGCCACAGGTTTTTGCATTTATAGCAAACCGATAGAAGTGGAAGTGCACCAAAAACTGAACTAGTAGGCTTAGACCTACATTCAACTCTCAAAACAAACAGGTTTCTGTTAACTTCATTAGAATATGAACTAGCATATATAGTCTCTTACAGTCCATTCTGCTAGTGCCCCTGAAGCACCAAGTAAAGGGGAAAGGGGAAGACAGGGACAGTAATGTATTACACCACAGTTTATGATTAATTCATCCAAATCAGTATTCCTAATCCATATGGATAACTATATCACTAAAATCAATGTAGCTCCTACAGTGAACATACCAATTTACTCCAGATAATGGCATAAGTACGGTGGTAAAGTTGCCTTAATTCTATGAAATGCTTCAAGATCAAACACAATATATCGAGCTTGGATTTATAAAACTGATCCAAACTTGTCTTGAACTCTCCCCAAAATACTGTCAATACAGATGGTGCCAGATCAAAAAATGAAACTCAAGAATAGTGAACAACCTTAAGTGTTTTTGAAGTAAATGGATAATATGATTCTTAGAAGGCCCTAAGCAGTGAAGGGCCTTTCCATCAGACTACGACTTAGAACCTTATGCACTCCTGCAATTAATCTTTTCTATTGAATACTGGGTCTTTTTATTGTAACTCCTGAACTAAGATATGTACACAGCAGTGACCTTGATTACCCTAAAACTTACAGCCATGGTCTCATGAGTAGTATAACTGCATCCTAATTGCATTACCGTTTAGACAGATCAGATAAATTAATATTATAATTACTTCAACATGTTTCCTTAGGATGTTTATGAGAACTACTTGGATCCATTTGGGACACTGGAAGTTCTTTTGTAATAGATTGATAATACAATACACATACTTCATTTTTTTATTCACACTGCACTTTCAACACACCAGTGGTCCACATTAAAGCTCCTTCTCCCAAAAACTCAAGAAATTTCTTCTGACTAATTTTATTGGAGCTCTCATTTCTCTTTCTATAATAGAAGAAAAAAAATGGCAACAGCAACCAGATAGAACAGTTAATCTGAAACCTGTCTCCAAGATTCAGGAGCATATTTCTATTATGACATTATTTATCAGATAAACTCAGTTTTGCAACTTTCTCCATTGTTCATATTGTATTCCAAATCTATGAAGCAATTTCAATCGCCGTAGATGTTACTGTAACAAAAATATTTGCACTGGAAATAGGTTGAAAAATAACTACAAGAAGTATTAAAGACATTAACAGTGAGTACCCACTGCATTCAGTAATATAAGAAGTTTCAAAGGTGGTAATAAGGAATGTAGAACAACATATCGAGGTACATAAAATATTAAGTTGAGCCATAGTTTAGCATGACTCACATAAGGCTATAAAAATGCTGTTACACCAACAGCCCACAGCTAGCAATAAACTGTAATGTCTTCAGTAGGAGAAGATTCTACTTTACTATAAGAAAACCTAGCTTGCCTAAACTGACCTTTACATTTATCTGAAGCAATTTTAATGTAGTTCACCAAAGGCTGACCCATTTCCTCTCTAACCCTTACCAGAACAGACCATAAAAGTACTGTTGCAGGAAACAGGGTAACTGCTTTCATCTACTCCAAAACAGTTCACACAGCTTGTGTTCAGTACTAATATGCATCTTGAAACTCTTAACAGAAATAATGGGCACCTGCTTTTTCAGTGAAAATCAAGTGTAATTTTTGTTCACTTCCTACCTAACACATATAATAATGTAGAGCTCTGCTCACAAAACATTTAAGAACACACTGATGGGAAAACTAATTTAGTTGCACAACTCAAAGAGAGGCAGTCTTTTACTAAACCGACATCAACGTTCACATTTACTTTGTAGTTCTACACCTTTTCCTGATAACTAGATATGGAGTTTTTTGCAACTAAAGTTATGCTGCACCTGTGTCTCATCAACTCTGAGATGAACCATGATTTTTGCTGACCTCACAACCCACCTTGATGACAAGCTAAGAGAACAAGAAAAATCAAGTAGTTCCTTGAACATTGGGACTATAAAACCTGACTTTCTATATTTTCCCGTACAGATTCTCTGATGTCTTGTAACATGGCTGTACTCACAGAGTACTTTATCTTCAGTCAGGTACTAATCTGAACTCCATTTCTCTACCCCAAAAGTTATTTTCACAAAGCCTCAGAAACATTAGTCTTGAGACTTCTGCTTTATTAATGAATGTGACTGAAATTTGGATTGAACAGGTACAAGTATTTGGGAGGACACAGCAGATGACAAATCTTACTTCCTGGCCTGAAGAGTTTACCAATTCAAAAAGAGAGCTATCATGGTTCTTGGGATAGACAAAGGAGAAAGCAAAACAGAGCAACAGAATTTAGTTAAAAGTATTAAAAAGCCAGCAATAGACTATGGTATATTAGGAAATAACTGATAAACATATGTTATGTAGAAGCTTATGTTATACAACAGAAACAGTTGTGCCTAGATTATTTGAACTCGCCTGTCATCAAATGTCCATCACCAAGAGGAGGACACAGAGCATCCAGTTCCACATCCACACCTATTTATGTCCTTCAGCGCTGTCTGCTGGACAGCCAGGTACACAAAGCTACACAACAACTAAAATGCATTGTATCCCATAGCAAACATTGCTGGGAGGTATAACAGCTAGCTATCAAGAATCCCCATACTCTTCCATTTCTGAGGATTCTGCCCAGTGCTTCCTGTAAAGACTAAGAGCCAACACACTGGCAACACATTCGGAGTAAATCCAACATGCAGACTACAAAAATGTAATACAAATGTAATTTTCATACTACGGAATTTAAAAATGTGACAGTGTCAGAACAGAAACTTCCAGAAGTTAAAGGTCATAAAACAATTATTTTGAGTATATCATATAAGATAGTGTGAACAGTTATAAGAATTGAGGACTCTTGAGACAAGTCAGGATACTATGCTAAAGCATATCTGCATCTGAAAAGGGAAAAACAACCCCAAAATCCCAGGCTATTTCTCACCTTCAAGGTATGCCAAATTATCCTTTATTGCAGTCAGTTATGTGTGTATACAAACCAGTTTCACAAAATAGAAGTATAAAAGTCTTATGAAAGTCTTTTCAATTGCAATTGTTATACTTGCTGGAAATGTCTACAAAATCTCTATATCAAATATACGGTTCCCATACATTTGATTGTACACAATTACCAGCACCATTTTATTCCTCCAATCACATACTACACATCAACTCCTGGTATCAATTCTGTATGTGAGAAACTTCTACAGACAAGTTTTGGAATTTCCTTACAGTTGTCCTATAAAATGAAAAGTTACTAGTATTTGAGGAACAATGCAATTTTATTAACTGATTATGCCACTAATCCCCCTAAAAATTAGGACCAGACAAACTTGCAGTAAGTACATCTGACTTTACTGCAACTGCTGCTTACCTGAGAAGGCACAACAATAAATACTATTAATAATATTAATAATTAATATATTAATAATAATTAATATATTAATAATAAATAATATTAACTGTGAAAAAGTGTTCAGTACACAGAAATGGCATACAGTCAGAAAGATGCAGACATGAACTGCATTTAATAAGGCTCTAACACAAACGAATTGGTCAGCCAGAAATGAGATTTGAAGCAATTCATCATGAGAGGTAGCAATTCTTGCAGTCCCATTGCTGCCATTTACTGATATGCTTGCCTTTTTCAGAAGTATGACTTCATTAATTAATTGTCAGAGTGGAGAAACCCATGAACTGTCAAATGATGATGGTAATATACTATAGTATAGTCATTATCAAAAGAATCAGAGTGCCCAGTAAGTACCCAGAATGCAAACTATTCCCTAAAATGTCACATGTATTTACAATATGAATGAAAAACATTCAGCTACAGGGGAGTTTTAGCACCCAAAGTAAGCACTCTTACTCTGAGGCTGTTCTGAATCTGCTGACTTCTTTACAGTTTTAATGTTTCTAGAAAGCACTTATTTTTAATTTTCTACATCAAGTATTAGACATTGGAAAAAGTATTTTCCTGCATCTCACTCAAGTGTGTTTCCTTTATCAGACAGCTTCTGAAATAACTTATGTGTAAGAAAAAGCAAGTGGCTCTGAGGCGTAGTCAGTTTTTAAACGGATCTTCCTTCAGAACTGCTAAACTAACAGTCCTATAGATAAACTTTCAATAATTTTCTCTGCACTGAATTCCTCTGGGCAGTGTATTTGCACAAGCAAGATCATTACTGTCTAATGACAATTACAAGAGAATGTGCCAAACTCCCACACCTTGTGTTGCTGAACACTATTTTTAAAGCCTCTGGAACTAAATTATTTTATGTGGACACAAAATACTAACATTTAAAGACAAACAGTCAAGTATATAATGAAAACTTTCTCGGAATATAGATACACGTTTGGAATGTCTTAGGCAAGTTTCTACTGCATGCAAAATTAGTACTCAAATAAAAACACTTCTGCCACTAGAGTACACCTCATTCTCTGAAGTGCTCTGAATTACACCAACAGAAGCAAAGTTACATTTACACCAGGCAAATTATATGCCTAGCAATATCTTCAAACTTCTAGCAACTCTGTATCTATCACCTAGGCAAATAAAAGCTTTCAAAGCAGGATTTCCCATTTAGAAAAATATAAAGAAGCCATGAAAATACCCACAGACAAAAAGTGGTGGTATCGTCAGAGGGGGAGGAGGAACAGAGTTTCCCGTGTAAGAAAACACAGCGCTCAGCCTTTCTCTTCCTCCCCTTCCCCACTCCCTGAAAAGCAGCACTTGTTGATACTTTGTTTGCAACAAAATAACTTCCTAACGGCAACCACACCTAACTGGACGTTTCTGCTGCACGCACTGTAAAGGGTTTAGGCCTTAGAGGGTCTACCACAATTAGAAAGAAAACCTAAAGACACGCAAAAACCTAAATAGGATCCTGACAAGAGTTTGGAATTCCCGCTTGCCTGCCGCCCTTTATTCGCAACGAGGGGACGCGTCATCCTCCAGCCCACGGCTCGCTTATAAAGACGGCGAGGCGCCGAGACGTGCCAGGGGCACCTGCCAGGCCGCCAAGCCCCTCTCCCCCCGCGGAGGAAAGGGCCGAGGTCTCTCCCCACAGCGCAACCGGGGCCGGGGGGGCCCAGGCCGGGAGAGGCCCGGCAGCCCTCCGGGCAGCGGGGAGGGCCGGCCGGGCCCGGGAGCAGCACCTACCCCCCCGCCCTTCCAAGGCGCGGAGACAGTGCTTCCCATCCCCTCCCCCCAAAAACCGGCACCGCCCTCGCGGCCCTCCGGGAGGGCAGGGTGCGGCAGCGGCAGCGACCCCGGCTTCCCCGCCCGCCTCCCCCGGGCCCGGGCTCACCAGCTCTTTCTCGCCGCCTGAGCTCGGGTCGGGGTAGGTTCAGCGACCCGGAACATGAACCCGGCGCCTCCCCCGGCCGCTCCCCGAGGAGGCTGGCGCCACTTCGCAGAGACTGGGCCTAGGGGAGCCGGGCCGGGGGCCGGCGGCAGCGCCGGGGGCTGGCGGGCGAGGGCCGGGAGGGGAGGGCGCGGACAGCCGGCGCGGCTCCTCAGTCCCCCATGATGAGAGCCCGGAAGCAGCTGCGGCACCGGGAGGAAGCCGGGCGCGACCATCCCTCCTCTTCCCCTCCCTCCCCGGCCCGCTGCCCAGGGGCGCCACGTCCCCTCCAGCATTCCCCGCCGTGGCTCCGCTGCCGTCCCGGCCCAGCTCCGCGGGGCTCCCGCCGCTGACGGTTTCTTGCCGTTCCTTGCCGGTGGGGCTGCGGTGGGGAGCGCCACCCCCGCGCCCGCGCGGAGTGGTACGGTCCCGTTGCCATGGCGGCGGCGTCGGGTTGGGGGGGAGAAGGGGGAGAGCATGGCCGCCCTGGCCCGGCTTCAGGCGAGGCTCTCGGGGCTGCGGGAGGAGTATTTCCGTAGGAACAGGTAACTGGGTCGTGCTGGCGGTGGAGCGGGACGCACCTCCTCTCGCTGGGCTGGGGCTGGCGGGGTGGGCAGCCCCCGGTCTGCCCCGGCAACGAGATGGCGGCACTCCCGCTGAAAACGCTTCAGCTTTAAAACACGGCCCGAGAGCACCCACCCCCTATCCCCTAAAATATTGTCCGGGTGATCTGAGGAGACCTAGTGGCAGCAGCACCGTTTCTTTAAGAGTCCCGTTTATGCACCCAAAAGAGTTCGTGTCCCGCTCTTCCCCCTCCCCCTGCTCATTTTGAGGGAAAAGGAGCCTCTGGAAACTCCCGACAAGCGCCGAGTTCGCCCCCCCCCCGCCCCCGGGCCGCTCCGGCGCGGCCGCCTTTCCCACGGGCTGCCTCACGCCGAGCCCCACGGAGCGGCACGCCGCGGCCGTGAGCTCCTGCTCTCGTGGCTCAGATCTGTAACTCTCACTGGACGTTTAGTTTATCCTGTTGAAAGGCACCTCTTTTTTTTTTTTTTTTTTTTTTTAATAACTTGATTGACAGAGAACGCCGTCCCCGTCCCCCCCCAGCTTCTGAGCGAGTCGATGTTTATTAACCACCGTCTTCAAAATTGAGCTTCGTTTCTAAATTAGATTATGCGGCTTGAGTTTCTAGTATCTGGGACATGTCCTGTCTTTTTTCTACTAAATTCAGGACATGTTTGTTCTTACTAACGATCCAAAATGTCCCATGTAGAGAGTGGTGGGCTTATTGCTCAGATCGCCTGTTACCCTTGTCCTGACGGAGTGGGACAGTTTGTGCTGCTGAGTTTTCTTGAGTGCTAAGGTAGTGGTGGCCAACTTCAACTAGATCAGGTTTTAGGAAATCAAATGTTTTAAGATCTATTTTAATATTTCATAGATTTGTCCTGTAAACTCTTTTATTCAACTGTATTGTTGCTGCTGCTGCACATGTAAAGCTAATACTCAAACAGAAAAAAAAAAAAAAAAAAAAAAAAAAAAAAGGCATATTTAGCATAGTTGTAGGGTGTTTTTTGTGTTTCCTAATTAATGAATCATTTGTTTTAGAATCCAATTACAACATCATTAGCATGAATAACAGAGCTCCCAAACATTGCTAAAAGTTACACCAAGTTCAAGTCCTGCCTGCATATAAAGTGTTGTGTTTTCCTGTTCTTACCCTGAACTTTAGCTTGAACTCTTGTGGCTGTACACACAGCAGTTCACTGAACAAGCATCAGTTACAGGAGACTATGCTTGTATTTCACATATTTGAGGTTAGAAAGAGCAGGCTGAGCCAGACATGGAAATCCATTGGAGGGCAGCATGCTTGATGTTTGGGGATTTGTTTTTTGGCAGAGCTTTCCAAAAATGAATTGTTTCCCTTTTAAGAATAGGCTATAATCCATCATCTTATTGAAATTCAGATTTTCATCAGAGAATTTAAATGAGAGGCTTCAAACTGTCCAGCTCAGCTACTGAAGGGCTGATCAGGAATCTGATCTTTGTTCTTAAGGATGAAAATCTTGGACAACTTCAACACAGCCATCAGCAAAATCCTGAAACAAATCAGAATAGCTTGTTTAGAAATTTTGGTAGATCCTTATTTGACTTTTAATTTAACAAATAAGTTTTGGTCATTAATCTGTGTCAAATTTGCAGTGGTCTTTGAAGTATTTTTTAATCATTTGTATTATGAAGCCAGTCAACAGCTTTAATTTCCCTTTCAGAACTATGCTTTATATATGTAATATAACAGATCTGTTAAAATTGCCAAATCTGGGATGCTGTGAGCACATAAATCAGTGTCATCTGTGCAGTCACACATCATTCACAAATACTTTGAGGGCATTCAGACAAAAATACATGATACTATAGAAAAAACAGTTACTTACTCTATAAAGTCAGTATTCTGCAGTGAAATACCAGATTCGCCAAAAGATCTAAGTTGATCTGAAGCATCAGAAGGTGCAGAATATAGATTACCAAGTATTTACCTTTTTTTTTGTATGAGTTGCCCTTTTTGTAAATACCTTGAAGGGTAGGACCTGAAGTATTTAGTTCCATGTGTCTCAAACACATTTTAAGAAAAAAGAAAAATACTGCTTTCTCCACCTATCTATAAACATAGTAATTGAAGTGCCGTAAAGTAAATACCCAAATTAGAAAACTTTCTTTATCTTTCAGAATGCATTTGCTACTTTAGGACTCTATACCTGTTCCATTAAAAATTAGGGTAGGTTGAGGACTGTAATATCTTGCCTGTTAGTTGTGCTTAAACAGATTTACCTGATCTTAATAATGTTCTTCTGATCTTAGTAATGTTCCTGTCATGCTTTATGCGAAACTCTGTTTGTCAGAGGCATGAGGTCTCCTAAACTGACTTTTCAGGGAAAGCACGTTTCTAGAGAAGGACTTGCCCAGTGATGGCACAATGCAAAAATACCGTTTGCAACTTAAGAAATACCCTGTCAGCATAAGCATTAGAGTATACAGGATCTGTCAGTGCATTCTCTTATTTTAAGTGTTAAATAACTTTATCACTAATTCAAGAACCTACATTTATTTACTGTAACATCTATATGTCAGATGCTGACCTTGAGTATGCCTTTTTAACATTCAACAAAATCTTTGAGAAGTATCTGTGACTCTAAAAACTTAATTCAAACAGTGTGACAGCTATGAAATCTGATCAGAAGGGCAGATACCAACCTGAGTGATTTATACCTCAAACCACTTTTGCTGACAAGGCCAGTTGAAAGTGTTTGTGGAACTATACTGTAAGAAAACCGAGTCTGTTGTTGGTCTACTTCAATAAATTTTACAAGGACTTCTAAACTGACTTGGCCAGGCAAGACAGAATGCTAACCAAAAAACCTAACAGGGAGTAATAGAGGAGATGGCTTCTACTCTTCCAGAAGCCATTGCCAGGAGGATATGACTGGTTTTGGAGCTGTCACCTCTGACACGGCCAGTCCCACATCCCCTTCATTTCCAGGCTGTAATTGTGGCTTGCTGTCCAGTGCCAAGTCACTGAAACCCTTTTAATAAAAATAAAAGCTAGAGGTGATTTCATAGCCAGGTTCTACCCCTCAGCATTGAAACTCATCATAGTAATGATTTCTTCATGAACTCTCTGAAAAGTCTCTTCCAGATTCATATATTTCTTTAATCTCTTTTAGATTCATGTTTTTCCTTACGTGACTTTTAGCTTTGTCACGAACACTATTCTCCTAATAGAGTCACAGAAAGAAGGCAAGCAAGGACTGTCTCTTGGAATTATTTTCTGACTTTGTGATAAGGTCCTTTTACTTGCTCTTCCTTCCCACATGCCTTTTCCCTGCACTCTGTTATTTGACACAAAGTTTTGACAGCTTTTAGTTTGTGAAAATCTCCTTGAACTCATCAATTCTCCACCTACATCTATGTTACCTCTTTAGCTGCCTCACCGGTATCTTTCTAGATAACCTTTCTTCTCATGTAACTTAAAAATGAATTTTTAATCTTTCGGTGTATCCTCCCTTTTTCATTAGTTCCTCTGGTATCTCTATTAATCAATGCTGCATCCCTATCATATTTTCTAATTATTCTCCTTTTTTTCCCTCCTTGCCTGTCTGCAGCACTTGCCAATATGCTGCCAGTTTCATTTCTACACTATCTCAAAAATCCAGGTCTTTGAATTCCCATTGTGAAAAGTCCTGTCATTACTCAATAAGCTGTTGCATTGACTATTTTAATTCCATGTGAAAGATTCCTATGGTCATCCTTTTGGAATCTTTCCAAATTACTAACACCATGTGTTTTCAATTCCCAACTTCCTTTTAAGCCACACTAAGACTTCATATTCTGATATTCCAGGCCTCCTAAAGTTTGGAAATTTCCACATCTAGTTTCTTTCCTATGCTTTCGTTATTCTAACTCATAATAGTTTTAATTTAGATTTATATCTCACTTTCCTTCAGTCCTCTCTTCTTCTTTTTCATACTTATCCTCTTTAAATTCCTTCCTAACAAACTAGCTAGAAGGTCTAAATTTTCTACTTTCACCCTGTGAGATCATCTCATGTTCATTAAAAAAAATCTACAGACGAGTGTATCTGTCACCATTTCTGATGCTATCACTGTTCAGGTAATAAACAAATAAGACGTTTTGTATCGGTCATAAACCAATGTATTTGAACTAGATTTCATTGTTAATATGTGCTTCTTATTAATTCAATTGATATTTATCATGATAATATTGGCCACAGTTACTTAATATTCATGTAAATATACAATTTTCTTTGTTGTAATTCAGGCCTAATTATCATTAAAGCATTATCCATTATTTCACTTACAATGGAAGAAGTCCATGACATGCTGACATGGATACTCAGTATTGTATGGGAATAAAAAGTACACTCTCGCAAACCTTACATCATCTACAAATTGTGATACTCTTTGTTATTTTCATATTATGCAACTGATATAGATTATATTGCTCTGCATTATTATTTAACTATGTAGAATAAAAAGTGAAAAACCTGGTGAAAAAGAACACAAACTGCAACAGTAAGACATACTTAGAAGAATTTTTCTGCTTTGGTACTAAATTACCATGCTGACAAGTATTACTGATTTTTATATTTTCAGAGCTGTAGATGAGGACAGAAAAATAGAGTACAAAGC